TCCACCTCTTTTTGCTTTTGAACGAACTGGTTATAACCCAGCTTGGAATCAGTCATGAGAGGATTTATGATTCTAAAGGTTTTGTAATGAGAAACAGAATACCTGATTTTGAGGATTATCCATGCCTTTCTATTCTTCTTCCTCTCCGCTCATTGGTCATTTATTATACATTAGCACACCAGAGGGGAGGCAGAAAAACAGAGAGGACACAGTAGCTTTCTCATGAAATCTTACTTTGTTCACCAAAGTCTACACGTAAAGGAATAATTGTGGTAAATCAAATAAGTTGGGTTATATTTTAAGAAATGAAACAATGTGGCCAGACTACTGGGCAATCATCTGAAAATCTTCAAGTGGGGCAGAAATGTGGCAACTGAAACTCAGTGTAACCAAGGAAACTGTGAAAAAATAAATTCACATTTTACATTTAAAATATGAGACCAGAAAATGATCCTAGAAATCCCTACCGATTATTTGCCAAAGACATCCCCAGTTTCCTGTTATAGGTAAAAGGCCTGTTGGATTTAAGCATCAACAGTAAAGAAAACATAATAGGAGTCATTATCCTACTCATGAAGAAAGCTGTGAAATCACTGCCTGTAAAATTCTTTACTCTAGTTCTGTTTGCCCCAACATCAGAAAAACATAATGAAACTAGAAAAAGGCCAGAGAAACTTGGAGCCAACCCAAATGCCCATCAATGATAGACTGGATAAAGAAACTGGCACATATACACCATGGAATACTATGCAGCCATAAAAAAGAATGAGTTCATGTCCTTTGCAGGGACATGGTTGAAGCTGGAAACCATCATTCTCAGCAAACTAACAGAGGAACGGAAAACCAAACACCGCATGTTCTCATAAGTGGGAATTGAACAATGAGAACACACAGACACAGGGAGGGGAACATCACACACTAAGGCCTGTTGGGGGATCGGGGGCAAGGGGAAGGAGAGCATTAGGACAAATACCTAATGCATGCAGGGTTTAAAACCTGGATGACAGGTTGATGGGTGCAGCAAACCACCATGGCACATGTATACCTATGTAACAAAACTGCACATTTTGCACATGTATCCCAGAATTTAAAGTACAATTTAATAAATAAAATAAAATAATAAAATAAAATAAAATAAAATAAAATAAAAGGGACAGAGAAAAGAAGTCAAATTTGCAGGTGAGAGGAAGACTAGAAACATCAAAATTCTTAGAAAAAAGTCATGGATTCTTAGAATTGGAATTATCCTGAAACATTCTGTATACCATTTCCTTGTGCTTTCAGAATATTCCTGATAAATCCTAAATAGTTTAGTTATCAAAGGCCTAATTGTACACTGGAGACTGACTAGAATCCTCCCCTGATTTGCAGCCTACCTCCAATCTGTTACCTCAAATATCTTCAAAATATATCCACTTCTCTTTATCTCCACTGGTCTAAATCATCTTTCTCATTCATACAGACTACTGCAGTAGCATTCTCATTGGTTATCCTCTTCTACTTCAGGTCTTCAAAGCCATGTTCTAACTTCCCAATCCATTGCAACAAGAGTGATCTTAAACCTCAAATTAAATAATGACATTGGCTTAATTAGCATATCTTTAGCGATTGTTCATTGACCTTAGGTTCAAGTGCAGAGTAATAAACATGGTCCTAAATGATTGGCTCCTGCCTCCTTCACTAGGATCATCTCACATACCTTCACCCTTTGTTCATCAAAGTTTATCCACACCAACTTTATTTCAGTTCCTCAAAACAGCAGCTACCATCACACATAACAATAACCTCCACCATAACAGCTAACATTTATCAAGTTTTTAACTACATGACTGGCATTGTATCATGTTTAATCCTCATAAGAAAATCTATAAGGTAGTTATTTTCATCATTTTATTGCTGAGAAAAAAACAAATATTTAGAAACATTTAGTAATTTCTCCATAGCAAGGTAGGTGGCAAAGGTGGAAACAATGTTATATTGCATATTCCAGGGAAATTTTTTCCCCACCCCCTCCCTGGCTAGCTCATATCATTCTTTATGATTACTACTCATATGTCATTTCCTCAAAACAGCCTTCTCTCATCTACTGATCTAAAATTGGCACCCTTGTCATAGTCCCTTGTACTTTTTCTTTATAGAATGTATCACAGTTTACATATTTCTTTATGTGACTATTTAATATCTGTCAAACCTCCAATAGACTGTAAGTTCCATGAAGGTAGGGACTATATGTTTAAAAATGTGCCTGGTGTAATCAATAAATATCTGCCTAATAAATGACTGAAAAAAGACATCAAACCATCTAATAATAAGATGTTGGATCATTCTATGGAAAAGCCTATTTGAGTGTTAAAAATTCTATTAAAATATTCTTGCCTACGTTAAACCAAAAGCTGTTCCCTTATAATGTCTATCTACTGATCCTAATATTGGTCTCTTGGCCAATAGTGAAAAAGAACATTTTTTTTCTTTACAGCTCTTCAGATACTTTCAGCCTAGACAGTTTAAGACAGAGAAGACTGGTAATTATGGTTAGATAATTCCAGATTTACTTCTAAACATCTGAATGCTAGAATGTGGAAGATGAGAGGGCATCTTTTGAAATTAGAGACTCATCTGGGGCACATTTATGGAAATTAATTCTTTGTATACTATAAATAATTGCAAGAGGCAGACATGAAATACTGGTGGGACTGCTGTGCTTGGCACACTCTATCACAAATTGAATTCTAATTAGTATAAATCTAGAAACAAGCAAACCTAGAGGAGGGCCAGTTAAAAGCAAAATGACTATACAAAAAGATTGAGCAAAGTAAAAATCAGCTACTACAATTACAAGATAGATGTCATGAAGTACAACTGTACCTTCTCCTATCTCTCAAGAATTTTCCTGGCAACAGAGCTCTGGATTAGATGAACTATATTTCTAAGATTTGGAAATTAGAAAGGCAAAATGAAAGCCAGAATTACTGAGAAACAAAAATATTCTTTAGACATTTTATATATTTGAATTAACTTGACATAGTCAGTAATTTTTTAAAGAAGGCTTCATGTGCCCTCCTTAACAAGGAAGATAGAATCTCGAAGTTGGAAAGGTCTTTTTGTCTAATAACTTATCACATGCTTAAAGACTCTCTACAACATTTATATGAGATAGCTATCGAACCAATATTAAAACATCCAAGCATGGCATAAAGCAGAGATTTGGATTTTGAGTTAGGAGCTCTGGGTTTAAATCTCAATTCAGTAATTTATTAGCTATATAACTTTGAACTGGTTACTCAATGTGCGCCAGATTCCTAATTTTAAAAACCAGAATAACAAAATATATCTTTTAAAGCTGTTTGAGAATTAAATTAAATACCATAATATGAAATGTCACTTAGCATTATACCTAGTACATTGCAAATGTTCCATAAATGTTATTTTCCCTCCAGTGACAAAAATCTACTACCTGCCAAGATAGTCCATGTCCTCTTTGGAAAGTACCGGCAGTGGGTTCTTATACTGTGTGGAATTAGTCCAAAACTATTAGGTAAATGACACTTAAAAGTTTAATGTGTAAGGTATTATTTTAAGAAAATATGTTCTTCATTAGTATTTTAACTTTGGATACCAACTTTATATATATTTCTTAAGCAATTTGTCACTCAGAAAAGGCAGAATTTGAGTAACCTTAGAGAAATATAAGTTACAATCATATCTGACTAGAAGCCTTTAATAATCTAATTCATATAAATACTTCCTTGAAACTTTCCCAGAAAAAACAAGAACAAAAAGTTCTCCTTCTAGTGACTCAGGGTTAATGAAGTATGGCAATGATCTTTTAAGACTACACAGATACTCTTCCTATTTTTATTAACAATTAATAACAAAAAATCAGTATCAGAAATGTTTTATTGTTTTGTCACAAGACCAAGATTTATAATTGTTTAATTATTTAATCCTATAAAACAACCATATAGAAAAAAAATGTTTTAAGTCATAAGAAATAATTACCTATTTTGTGACAATTAATTTAGCACACTCTGTAAATAAATTCACTTTCCTGGTGTTAATTTAATGTTCCACTTTATACATGCTACGTAAGTTCATTTGTTAGAGAATATTTTGGCTGGCTTTCTTCACTGTAAAAAATAAAATTACTTCTAACAAATCTGATTCAAATACAACATGAAGCCTGTTCTTCCACAATAATATTAATTCGAACAATTCAATCTTTATTTGAGGAACACAATTACACTTTCCAACTCAATATGTCTTAGTTTACCTCAACTTTTCAAACCTAAAGAAAAATTATCTTCAAGCTATTAAATTATTATATAATTTAATAAGTTTTTAAATAATGAAAAATGGCTAAGCGCTGTAGCTCACACCTGTAATCCCAGCACTTTGGGAAGCTGAGGCAGGTGGATTACTAGAGGTCAGGAGTTCAAGATTAGCCTGGCCAACATGGGGAAACACCGTCTCTACCAAAAATACAAAAATTAGCCGGGTGTATTGTGGCGCACACCTGTAACTCCAGCTATCCCAGAAGGCTGAGGCAGGAGAATCGCTTGAACCTGGGAGGCAGAGGTTGCAGTGAGCCGAGATCGTGCCACTGCACTCCAGCCTGGGCGACAGAGCAAGACTCCATCTCAAATAATAATAATAATAATAATAATAATAATAAATATAATTAATGAAAAATTGTAAGGTCAAATTTAGATTGAAGCTATCAGAATAATATTGAAAATCACATATTAGAAACAATGTTTCTGAGGTCACAAATATAGTTTATATTGGATGAAAACATCATCAATTGTGTTTTCCCTCATTTCTCTCTTGTACATTAGGTTTTATTTGTCAGTAGAAACATCACAAGTAAGTTTAAATTTGTAGTAGATAAGAATTACTCTGATTCTGAGTAACTTGATTATAGCGAACATAATCATGGCTAATATGATTCCTAAAAATGCTTACAGTTGATTAAAAAAAATAAGAGCATAAAATAAGCTTACTGTTTCACCAATTTTCCCAATATTTCCTTGATCTCCTACTTCTCCCTGTCAAAAAAGAATATGAAGTTGCAAAAACAGTTATTTTTCAAGCTAGATTATTCATGACAGTTTCAACTTTCATTTTTAATGCAATTATCTAGTCATAACCTAGAAAAAGGCAAAGGAAATTTCAGTTACTTAAAACTTTGTTATAGGTGCAGCAAACCACCATGGCACACGTTTACCTATATAACAAACCTACATATCCTGCACATGTACCCCAGAACTTAAAATAAAAATTTTTAAAAACTTATGTTAGAGTATTTCTATGAAATGTGGCCTACCCTCTATTTTCATTCAAATAGTAATGTATCAGTCTGTTCTTACACTGCTATAAAGAACTACCTGAGACTGGGTAGTTTATGAAGAAAAGAGGTTTAATTAACTCACAGTTCCACGGTTTAACACCAAGCATGACTGCGAGGCCTCATGGTGGAAGGTAAAGGTGAAGCAAGCACAACTTCACATGTTGGAGCAGGAGAGAGTGAGAGCAAAGGGGGAAGTGCCACACACGTTTAAGCCATCAGATCTCGTGAGAACTCACTCACTATCACAAGAACAGCAAAACGGAAATCCGCCCCAATGAGCCAATCGCTTCCCACTAGGTCCCTCCTCCAATTTGACATGAGAGTTAGGCAGGGACACAAATCCAAACCATATCAGGTAATAATCTATTTTCTTAAAAAATATTCTCCTATTCGTGACTTTTAATCACTTTTATAAATAAAATTTTTAAAAATAAAATCTTTATTGAGGTGTACTCTGTAAAAGGCAGAGTAGTAAGCACGGTGAAAGGTATTAAGAAGAATGAAATTAAAGTCTTTCCCACAGGGATATTCTATTTGCTCAAATAGAACAATACATGGGACAGGTTAAGTACTCTAGGAGCAGGCGCCCTGTGAACTGGAACAGCTAGAGCTGGCATCACTGGAGAAGTAACGCATGTTCATAACCTCTGAAACAAAATTTTGCAGTCCATAATGCTCTGAAAACTCAGAGTTTTTCACAACTCATTTGGTGGCAAACTTGACCTAACTTGGATTGATTTGGCAGTAAAGCTTATTTTGTTCTGAATAAGGCCATTTATAGTCTTGATGTATTCCAATTAATCTGAACATCCTTACATTTCACTACAGAAATATTAATATATCTAATTATGGTATGCTGTTGCACACCCTTCTGGTAGTGGTAAATAAAATATACTATATGCGACATGTTACTTTTCAAAAATCCAAACATTAATGATTTCAAATAATGGATTATGAAACTGTAAGCGGGGCCCTGAAAAATATGGGACACTTAACACTGGTAATGAGGAAGGGCCATTTTTGGTGGTGAGGAATGGCATCGGCAAAGGTATAGATTAACAAAAGGTTAAAGATTAAGTTCAAAGTACCACAGAGACACACTCTAATAGCAATATACATTTTGTGTACAGAAACAGATTAAATATGTTATGTCTAAAATTAATCAATTACTGTCTAAACATTAATAATTATATTCCAGTGTAGAACAGTAAGATGTTAAGATACTGAACAATATTGTAGCCAATAATGATGTGTGGCTACTGAATATTTGAAATAGGCTGGTCTCAATTGAATTGTGATATAAGTATAAAAAAATACATCAGATTTCAAAGGCTTTCTACAAAACAAGAATATAAAACATCTCATTAATAATTTCAATATTGATTACATGTTTAAAGGATATAATATTTTGATATCTTGAGTTAAATAAAATGTACTATTAAATTAATTTTACTTCTTTCTTTTCACTATTTAATGTGGCTCATATCTGTGGTTCATATTGCATTTCTATTCGATAGTGGTGATTTTAAGCACTGAAACTTAATATTCATCATGAGTGATCACTGAAATAAACTTTCAAAGTCTACACAAGTTTTCTTTTCAGTTTCTGTATGTATTTAGATAAATAGTAAAGACTGAAGCACTGCAGTGGGTTTTAGTAACTAACTTTAACAGGCAGCTCATTAGACAGCATTTATGGAAAATTTATGGAAGAATAATATATGGATTATTAGTTTTCTAGTATTTTTCCCTCCTTACTCATAGGTTACCCTTCTTAAATTCCAAAAAAGATGAACCCTTTGTGCTACTTAGTTTTAAGGGAAGTTTGTGTTAACAGTCAAAAAGCAAAAGTTGTTTGCAGATTACTTGCATTCTTTAGTTTCAGAGTCTGAAGGTAAGAAGTTACTTGTCTTTGACAACAACGAAAGAGAGAGAGAGAAGCTATTTCCCCAGGCCTAGAAAGAGAACACAGATCTAGGGTTCTATGAAGAGTGTGTTCCTTAACCAACTCCCCGAGGGAGTGCCAGGTCTCAGTTAATAGCTACATGATGTACTGAAACGCAAATTTCAGTGACAGCTAGGAAGGAATGAACATTACAAAATTTCCTCTGTTTACTAGGTAACACAGAAGCCGCCTAGATTCTGGTGTGATTCTAGGGAGAGAAAGTATAAAAATAACTAAGATTCTGTTTCTTGCCAATTTCACTGGATGGTAGCTCACAGTTGGATTTCCTAGCACTATTTGGCAGTCCAGTAAAGGAGAATTGTTAATCCCAGTAAAGGCGAATTGATTAAGCCTTCTGTTTATAAATACTACTACCCTATTTTTCAGAGGACTTTTGTATGTAACTTGAGAAGGAGTCAGGTACACATATTCTGCCCCAGGATAACTTTAGCCTCATATATACTGATACATTAAAACATACTTTAGCTCATATTTCTTTATCAAGTTTGAAAAGTGTTGTTTAGCTTTTCCTTAGGTTCCAACATCATAAAAAGGATGAATTTAATAAAAAAAATTAGCTTTAGGAAACTTAGTAAAAATGCTATGACTATGTCAATTTATAGTTAAATTTTAAATTTGCAAAACTTACCAATTCTTATAAGCTAGTTTCTTTCAGGTCTCAATTCTGTATGTAATAAACCATTGCATTACTTTATATTTGTTGGTATTATAAAAAAATTATCCAAGACCTTGGAAATAAAGTAAATAGTAAGTGATATATCTTCTTAATATCATAAAGTGATGAAGTTTACCCAGTGATTATCTAGTGAATATACTTAGATTCACTGTTTACTAGTGATTAAAAGATCCAGATTTAGTAAAGTTATATGAACTTGTAGATTTCTACCCAGTAGAACTGATAACCCCAGAAGTTATGGTTTATTGCCCTGTATGCAATCCACAAATCTTATCCTAACGTTTCTTTATTAAATCACATACATAGATATAGAATATAGATACAGACATAATCACAGATACACAGATTGGGCATCCAAGATCCAAGATCTGAAATAATAAATGTTCCAAAATCTGAAACTTTTTGAGTACCAGCATGACATTGAAAGGAAATGCTCATTGGAGCAAAAATCCAGATTTTTGGATTTGGGATGCTTAACTTGTAAGCATGTATAATACAAATATTTAAAACTCCAAAAAAATCTGAAATCTAAAACACTCTGGTTCCATGCATTTCAGACAGGGGATACTCAACCTGCATATAAATAGATACAGATATAAAGATACAGGTTCTTAGTTGCTCTTTGTAACAGTTTTAACATCTTACTGGTTCTTTTTAAGTTGATGTGTTCATTTCATATTTGTATGAAAGTCATAATTTTATGTTTCTGAAAATTATATTTTAAAACTGATAATAAAGTCAGTTGCTTTACCTTTAAGCCTTCTGGTCCTGGTTCACCTGCATACCCCTTTTGACCTGGTTTTCCCTAGAACAGAACAGAATGAAAGAAGAAAGTATATATGTTTAGTCATTCTCATTTTTGAAAGTTTCCTAAGATATATGAAATTTAGACTATTCTTATAAAATTAAACACTTTAACATTATTTGATAAATGTATTTCATCATACTCATTTGCCATTCATTCTACAAATATCCAACTGTCTACTGCGTGCCATGAACAGTTCTAGATGCAGAGGATCGAGGACTGCATTAAACATACCTGCCCTCATACAGCTTATATTTTAGTGAGAATAACGTTTTAAAAAATTAGTAAAATATTAGTATGTTAGGTAGTGGTAATATGAAAGGCAACAAATCAAGCAAGGAAGGGATATATAAACTGTTGTGGGAGTTTTATTGAAAGTGTTCATAAGATTCCAGGAAAGAAGACCTCACCAAAAAGTTGTTTGCAGATTACTTGTATTCTTACTTTAGTTTTCAGAGAGTCTAAAGGTAAGAAGTGGCTTGTCTTTGATGACAATGAGAGAGAGAGAAAGAGTGAAGCTATTTCCCCAGGCCTAGGGAGAGAAGAGAGATCCCAGGGTTCTGTGAAGAGTGTGACCCTTGACCCTCAACCAACTTCCCTAGCGAGTGCCATTCCCTGGGGGAGTTGGCAGTTTGGTGGCATTTGAATAAAGACCTAAAGAAAGGGACAAGTTATATGGATATCTGAAGGAAAAGTATTCCAGGCCGAGGAAAAGGGCAAGTGCACAGGCACTACAGCTAAAATGTGTGTAGTATGTTGGAGAAACCAGGAGAAGCTGAAGAATTGAGAGGAGAAGACCGGTAAAGTGATGAGGTCAAAGAAGGAAATGGGGAATGAGAAGTCAGGTCACATAGGGCCTTGTAGGTTGCAGTTAGGACTTTGACTTTTATCTGAGTGAGACAGGAAGCCTTAGACAAAGTTTAAGGAGAAAACTGATAAGATCTAAGTTTTAACAGGATCACTTTGATTCCAGGGTAGAAGAAGAGAGTCTGAGTAAGAGTCTAGTACAATAATCCAAGTGAGAGATGATGGGGTGTGAATCAGGGTGGTAGCAGAGTGGCAAGATTCTGGATATAATATGAAGGTAGAGCTTCCAGGAACTGCTGGCGGGTCATGTGTGAAATGTGGGAGAAAGAGAAGAGTCAAAAATGAATCTCAGGATTTTAATGTAAGAGTAGCAGACCAAATGAAATGAAGAAGACTGAAAACAGGTTTGGAGGGTAAATAAGAAGCTAAGTTTTGGACATTTTAGTTTGATATGCTTGTTAGACATCTAAATGGAGAGATCTTGTGGTAGTTATTTATACAAGTTCAGAATTTAACAGGTAGAAAGATCTGATAAGAAGAAATAATCTTGGAAACCACCAGCATTTTGATGGTATTTAAAGACCTAGGCTGGATGACCTCATTTAGCCAGTGAGTATAGATAGAAATGAGAAATCCACAGGCCAAGCTTTGGGGTATTCCAAAACTTAGAATTTGAAGAAATTAGAAAAAAATTTAATTCGTGCCAGAAAGTTAGGAGGAAAATCATGGAAGTAAAGAAATTGTTTCTAGGAGGAGAGAGTGATCTTGTCAAATTCTGAAGAATAGAAGTATTGAGTAATAAGAGGACTCTGAGGATTGAGAAATGACAATTGGATCCAGCAATACAGAAACCACTGATCATATTGATCAGAGTATTTGTATTGTAGTGGTGGGAACAAATGTGGTTTAAGCAGATAGAGGGAAGAGAAAAACTGAAAGAGCACGTATAGACAACACTTTTGAGGAGTTTTACTGAAAAGGGAAAGATAAAAATAGGGTAACACCTGGAAGGCAAACTGAGACCAAAAAAGTTTTGTTTTTGTTTTTAAGCTGGAAGAATAGCAGCAGCTTTATATGCTGATAGGAATGATTTCGTGTAGAGAAGAGAAAATATAGCAGAGACAGAGAGAACTGTTGGACCAATTATCTTGAGTAGTCAAGAGGACAGAGTATGCAGTAAACAACTGGAAGTTTTCCTTAGCTTGAAAAATGTCCTGCTCATCAACAACAACAGGAAAGAAAGCAGAGTATAGATAGAAGAAGGTGGGTACATGCAATGGCAGAAAACTGTAAGTTCTCTTCTGGTTACTTCAATCTTCTCAGGGAAGTAGGATGCCAGGCAAAGGCTAAGAATAAGGATGAGAGAGAACTGAACGGAGTTTGAAGAAACAAAGTATAAAGTAATAACTTAGAAAAGCAAGAGAATAAATAGGTTTGAAGACAGAATTCAGAATGTAATCAAAGGAATAATTATAATGTTTTAAGCAAGATGAGGAATTTGTGATCATAAAGGAGACAAGACACAATGGAAAAGCAGCAGAATCAATGCATTGGCATTCCTATTGGGTTTATTAGATTGGATAATAACAGAGAATGTATTAGAAAGATGGTGGTTGGGAAATGAGAAGTTTAAAATTGAAAATGAGAGGTTGCTATCACTGGTAATGACAAAGTAAAGGGTATGACTGTAGCAGAGAGTAGCTGAAAAGAATAGAGGATAAGATCAGTAGGGGAGAGCAGGTCCACAGATGAGGTGGCAGGGTATGGTTTCGGGATGAAACTGGTCCACCTCAGAATATCATCAGACATTAGATTCTCATAAAGATCACACAACCTAGATCCCTTGCTTGCACAGTTCACAACAGGGTTTCTGCTCCTATGAGAATCTAATGCTGCTGCTCATCTGACAGGAGGTGAAGGTCAGGCAGTTGGATGGTCAATACTGAGTGTCAACTTGATTGGATTGAAGGATACGAAGTATTGATTCTAAGTGTGTCTGTGAGGGTGTTGCCAAAAGAGATTAACATTTGAGTCAGTGAGCTGGGGAAGGCAGATCCACCCTTAATCTGGTAGGCACAATCTAATAAACTGCCAGCAAATATAAAGCAGGCAGAAACATGTGAAAAGGCGAGACTGCCCTAGCCTCCCAGCCTGCATCTTTCTCCCATGCTGGATGTTTCTCTGCCTTCCATCATTGGACTTAAGTTCTTTAGTTTTGGGACTCAGACTGGTCCTCCTTGGTCCTCAGCTTGCAGACAGCCTATTGTGGGACCTTGTGATTGTGTAAGTTAATACTTAATAAACTCCCCTTTATATATATCCTATTAGTTCTGTCCCTCTAGAGAACCTTGACTAATACAAGTGGTAATGCTCATGCCCAGTCCATGGCCTGGGGGTTGGGGACCCCTGCTATATTGGATTTTATTGCTGTTGTCAATTAAGACATGCTCATATTTTTTCTTCTTAAAGTGGAACAGAACAACCCTCTGGCTCACATTCTGTTTTTACTACACATAAAAGATTTAGCCACTTACAACTGTATTTAAGACTTCTAGTCTTATTAGACTAGAAGTCAAAACATTCTAATTTTTGCTTTTGCCTGCTCGAAATTATCGAATAATTTCCTAACAAGCAAAAAGCAAAGCAAAGAACTGAAAACCATCCTATTATTATTAAAGATCAATTGTTCTCTAATTGAGTTAGACACACAGAACAAGAAATAGAGTTAAGAAACTGAATTATTAGATTTTTTCTATGATATTTACAAAACCATTTCTATTTTTATTTCCACTGCTTGGTAACAGCCTTAGTGTGACATTTCTTTTATCTTTAATAATACTATTTCAAGCACTGTGTAGGATATTAAGATACAGTTATACATATTGACATTATGGAAAGAATCTCACTGGAATCTGGTATCAGCACATTTTCAAAGTCTTTGGAATCAAGCGATTCGGAGTATCAGTAACAGAATCATAACTTCTTGTCCTACTTAAATTCTATCATATTGTATTGATTTTGATTTGATTGTGTTATACTTGAACATGTAATATTAAAACCTTATTTTCAAATCTAAAAATAGGAACGATATCTTGCAGAGTTGTTTTCAGGATTAAAGATGATTCATATACTTATAGCAATATTAGGCCCCAAACTGATACTCAACGAATAGCAACAACAGTAATTATTAATATTAAGACTGTGTAGACCAGAGGTGAATATGGTTCTCCTCTTTTCAAAGGAAGTAAATTTTGAATAAGATCAATTTTATTGGGCTCAAATTCCAGTTTTTCTGTTATACAATTCTCAAAAAAAATAAAATGAAAATTCTTTTTTACCCCCAATGGGATAGTAGCAATATGTGTGCTAGTAAGGTAAAAATGTGAAAGAAATAATTACAGTCTTTTTAACTGTAAAAGCATTTTAAGAACCAGTACTTTGGCCAGACATGGTGGCTCACTCCTGTAATTCCAGCACTTTGAGAGGCCAGGTGGGTGGATCACCTGAGGCCAGGAGTTCAAAACCAGCCTTGCCAACATGGTGAAACCCCATCTCTACTAAAAATACAAAACTTAGCAGGGTATGGTGGCACATGCCTGTAATCCTAGCTACTCAAGAGGCTGAGGCAGGAGATTTGCTTGAACCCAGGAGGTGGAGGTTGCAGTGAGTCGAGATCACGCCACTACACTCCAGCTTGGATGACAGAGTGAGACTCCATCTCAAAAAAAAAAAAAAAAAAAGAAGAAGAACCAGTACTTTATGATGTTGTCAAGAAAAGAAATGAGATGTATTTCATATGAGTCTAATGCCTCTTAAAATAAATGTAATACATATAACTTAATTATTTCATAAGGTAAACTTTGGTTATGTATACCAAAAATTTTTAAATAATTCATTTCTAGAACTTGAAAACAATTCACATATTACCCATGGTATTATCTGACAAAAACATTGGCAGAAAATACATCTTATTAGCCTTCCATAATTTTACTAACACATTTAGAAAACAGGAAATCTCAGAATATTACTAAAATGGCTAAAGCATTTAGCTTCCTATTACATTTCAAGAAATTTATAAACAATTTGCACAAATTACTAAGTCTATAGACCACCAAAATAGCAAGTAACTACATAGTAGGCATAACATCATTCAAACTATCTTTGAGACTTCCAGTTATTGGCCTATTTTATTTTGGGGCATTTTATGACTATAGTTTGTTTTCATTTTTGTCCTTCACTATAATGTAAAATGTTATGATGTTAAAAACATTTACAGAACAGCTATTTTCAAGAAAACCACTTATGGAAAATTATACGATACCTACTCGTGGCCCCAGTTCTCCAAAGGGTCCAATTGGTCCTTCTTCTCCCTTAAAAACAAAAATCAAACATATTATGGCCTAAAATGGGTATTTAAAAATGTAAACTCTTATTTTCTCTATTTATTCTAAAATGTGAGGCTCATTCTGAGATGTGATGAAAATAATGCTGTTATTTTCTTGTACTTTGAACTCCATCACCCCACAACACTTCAGTTTTTTGTGTGAACCTGGTGCATTCTTGTAAGGACCAAAAACTATATGGGTGGATAGAGACTGAAGATGAATATAGAAAAAAATTAAAAGTTTTTATTCATAATTCTCTAAGAGAAAAAAAAGCAGTAAGTGTTTTTACTACATTTACAGACATATTTACTAAATATACTGATTTACCTTTAAAAAATAGTTGATTGCTTTCTGAATAATACATACAGACCTCCCTAGAATCATATAGTATATATTATTTATTTGGTAAACATTTTGCTCAATTCACAATTCAAGTAAAATATAATTTATTGGTTCAAAAATATTAAGTAGTCACAAATAGTAAATATAAATTCTAGTATATATGAGTGAGATTTTGGGTTCAGATTCTTCAGACATTCCACTGGATACCGCTAACATAAATCATTTAATGAATTCAGAACACTGTAAAATGATTCTAAATTCTATTCCATAACTGACAAAATAAAGTGTTAACTTGAAGGCTGGGCATAGTGGCTCATGCCTGTAATCCCAGCACTCTGGGACGTTTAGGTAGGAGGACTGCTTGAGGCCAGAAGTAGGCCAACCTAGCTAAAGAGCAAAACTGTGTCTTTACAAAAAATACAAAAATTAGCCAGGCTAATGGTGGTGCACCTGTACTCCCAGCTACTTGGAAGGTTGAGGTAGGAGGATTGCTGGAGCCCAGGAGGTCGAGGCTGCAGTGAGCCAAGATTGCACCACTACACTCCATCCTGGGAAAGAGAGCAAGACTCTGTCTAAATAAATAAATAAAATGGTAACTGGAAATCTGATAGTGTTTAAACAAAAACTGAAGGCCCACAATAAATAAAAAGGGAAACTTTTAACTAAAAACCTTGCTGAAGCTGACTGGATATCACTTCTTCCATACCTGAGTTCCTTTGAGACCAGGAGGTCCAGGAGGCCCTCTATTTCCGAGGAGTCCCTATAAAAGCAATATAAACGCACACAATAGAAATTTTAGATCAACTGACATTTTGATAAATCAGCATTAATGTGGAGATGGACAATACTCTTTGAAACCATTCATTTCCCATTAAGAAGTTCTCAAAATGGGTGGCAATATAGACAAGCAGAAAACAACAAGGCATCCAAAAACACAGGATAAACTTATTTTTAAACAGTAAGTTAATATTCAAATAATCTGCTCAGTATTTTATTCCTCAACCTCCAGACACCTTTTCAGAAAAAGTATTTCTAAAATGGAAGCAATGGGGCCAATTGTTAAACTGATAAGAGTAAAATAAACAGAGTGTTCACAAAGTCTGAAAACAGATGGAAGAAACAAATAGTGTTTTAATACCTATTAAGAGATCTGCAGAGTCTGGAACTCATTATTTGTTAGTTGAAGAATGCATTAGTTCTTCATTACTCATTAGTTGAAGAATATTCTTCAACTTATTTCCCTTTTTGCTACAAGATGACAAAAAGAGGAATTTGCAGAAGAAAGTGAGTGTGAATTTGACTAGAAATTTCAAGACTAAAAAAGTATTTTGTTAAACAAAATACATATTGTTAAAAATCAATTGCTCTCTGAATGAAAACCCTTTCAAAGTAACTATTTTTAAAAAGTCTTAAATCAGAAAACAGTATACGTCTATTCAACATGGCCACATTTTCTTAATAAGTTCTGTTCTCCTAACGACGCAAGATGCCAGCAAAGTTCTAAGTCTATTTTTAGAATTATAGTTTGAATGATTGCTTTTAGTCATTTTATAATCATTAAGAAGTTTTATCTAATTTTTAACTGTACTTACATAATTTTTAAATAACTACACCAAAGAGCAAATCTATTAGGTGACTTTGATCTTGTTCTGAAATGCAGCAGAGTGACAAACTACATGGGAATCTTTCCTTCATGTTATATTTTACTCTATACTTGCTGTACTTTAACACAATAAAAACAAAACTCTCTGTCAGTTTAAAAGTCTATAATATAGTATTGTAAGCTTATTACGTAAATAGTACCATTCAAGAAACTGTATTACTTTAGGCAATAACCTAACCTTTTAATTCAGCTTTCTTATTTTTAAAAGTAAGATATGGATTAGATTATGGAAATGGGCATATTGTGCCTCATGCCAGTCCAATATATGTTAATCCTTTTACAGGCAAAAGCACCCTAATTTTCCTTAAGGAAAAACTCTCTTCACTCTTCGTGCATGTTGTTTGAGGGGAGGTGACTCCACCTCCGACTGTAACTGTGAACATGTGACAGAGATCTAAGTCAGTCGGTGTATTGTACATCCCCAGAAAAAATGACTGGCCCAGGAATGAGTAAGGGACCCAACTCAGCCCAATTGAAGCACATTTCAAACTTCAGTAGCACTGCTGGGAATAGCATTAAAAATGAGGTAAAACTGAACAGTGGGAAACCATCCAGGGGACAGCCTGAGAATGAAATCAATGAATCAACAAATGGAGAGAGTTGGAGTGACTGGGCTCTTCTGATATTGTTTAGGGTCCTGAATTCAGCTGTGATTGAATCCCTGAACTTTTCATCTATTTATGTAAGCCTGTTTAAGCCAGGTTTCCACCACTTACAACTGAAATAATCCTGATTTGATACAATGATTTCAAACTGCCTTCAATATCTGAAACTGCTCTTTTAGAATTCAAAGTGAAAGATTTTAAGTGTCTACACTGACTGGAGGTACAGAATTAGAATGTTGTCATATTTGAATTCTACCACCTGTCAGCTAGTTTAATCACTTAATTCATCTGTTTGTTCATTTTTCATCTGACATTTTATTAATTTTCTACTATGTATAATGCTCAATTAACAGCACAATATTAGTCCCTAAGTATACAATTATCAGTAAGACAGAGTCCCTGTTTCCAATGAATTCATCATTTATTATGGGAGATGGTCCTTTAAAATAAAACTTACTACTCTGAGAGTTGTAATAGAAGTAGAGGTATATGCAAAGTATAAATAAGAATTTAGAAAAAGGAGCAAAATCCTTTCTGGGAGGATTAGAATATTTTTAATATATGAAAATGATTTTGTATTGAGCTATAATAGGCTAATAAAAACTTGTAGATAAAAATAAGCATACAATAAAAAATTATAAACAACTTCTGGGGCTCAAAAGGCTCTAAGAACATACAATATTAAGATTAGGGTGTGCATGAAAAAAACAGGCTCAGCTCCATATCCAGAGTGTAACCTGCAGAGGACTGACTGGTTAAAGGAAATGAGGTCCCCCCTAACTTTCTCATTGAAACTATTTACTCGGGATGGAACCACTTATCCAGGACCAGAAATAATCCTTTCAGTGAAGCAGGCAAATCTAGGCTTCTTTTTCTCTCTTCTTTCAAAACCAAAATTATAATCTTAAAGGAAAAATGAAAGTTGGGTTAAAAGAAAAAAAATCTAGTTATATGTCATTTACAAGAAACACACCTAAAATAGAAAATATGCAAGGCATTTACCAGCCCAAAAGAGCTGATGTAATTACATTATTATTAGATCTAGCAGACTTGAAGGTAAACTACATTATTTAAGTGTGTAACTAAATAATGATTAAAGGTTATATTCATCAAGAAGAGATAAAAAGCATAAATTTTTGTGCATCTAATAACATGAATTCCAAGTATAAAAAATGAAAATTGATGAATATGTAAATAGAGTTGGGCAAATCCACTATTAGAGAGAGAAATTTCAAGACACTTTTCTCCATAAGTCAAGCAGATAAAGACCACAAGAATAGAGAAAACTTAAATACTAATATTAACAAACTCGATCTAATGGTCATCTATAGAATACTGAATCCTTAAATGGGAATTTACATAGTTTACAGGCGCACCTGGAGCATTTGTGCAAACCAACCACAAGAAAGACCATAAGTGTTTATCAGCAGCAGTATCAATTAAAAAATTACAGTATATCTATATAGTGGGTTATGCTATACAATGTAAATTAAAAATGAACCTATAATTATATGTATCAACCTGGATTAAGATGAAAAGACAAAATTGAATGGAAGAAGAAAGTCACTGAAGAATATGTATAGTAGAATTCCATTTACATGAATTTACAAAACACTCAAAGCACCAGATATTGTAGGAGTACATACAGATGGTAAAAGCATGGCCAAAACAAAAGAATATTTACCTCTAAATGCAGAGATGGAGGAGGTAGACACAATTAGAGAGAGACACACAAGGGGCTTCCAACTTTCTGTTTAATATCCTTTATAGGGTTTGTTTTATCATCATTGTTTAAGCTGTGCACATATGTTTCATATTTATCATTTGTTAAATACAAATTTTAAAAAAGTTAAACTGTGCAGAACTGGAAGTAGAGTACAGATCTGAATTCCAGTTCTGCAGTTTACTAGAGATGTAAACTATTTCTTAATCTGTAGAATCATGTTACCATCAGCATTGTAAAGTTGCTGTAGGAATAAACAAAATGATACCTAGAATATAACAGCAACTTAATACCAGTTTCCTTTCTCCTTTTATATCAGACATTAATTAGTAGACATTTCTCAAAGGTAGATATACAAATGGCCAATAAATAAATGAAAAAATGTTCAACATCGCTAGTCATCAGGGAAATGCAAATCAAAACCAGAATGAGATATCATCTCATTAGAATGATCACTATTAAAAAGACAGAAAATAACAAATACTTGTGAGAATGCAGAGAAAGGGTGATGTATTGGTGGGAATGTAAATCAATACAGCTAATATGACAAAAAGCATGGAGTCGCCTCAAAAAATAAAAATAGAACTATCATATGATTTAGCAATCCCACTGCTGAGTATATATCCCAAAGAAAGAAAGTCAGTATATCAGAGACAGAATCTGCATTCTCATGTTTATTGCAGTGCTACTCACAATAGCCAAGATACAGAATCAACCTAAGTGTCCACCAACAGATGACTGGATAAAGAAAATGTAGTATATTATACACAATGGAATATTATTCCACCATAAGAAGAATGAAATCCTATATTTGCAACAACAAGGATAGAATGGGAGGATATTATATTAAGTGAAATAAGCCAGACACAGAAAGACAAATGTTGCATGTTCCAACTCATATGTGGAAGCTAAAAATATTGATTTCATGGAGATAGAGAATAAATTGAATGGTGGTTAACAGAGGCTGGGAATGGTAGTAGGGAAGGGACTTCCACTTGGACAGACAGAACAGTGTGTGGAGACTCACATCACGGACTTTTGTTCTAAGAACCACTACAGTAAATTCCCAGGAAAACGTAAGGATTTCATAGATCCTTTGACAGAAGTGGCACACTGCTACAAATTCTGTGAGGCAGGCAAAAAAACCGTGAGTTCCCAAAGTGTGTGAGGGGAAACACCTGCCTCCGGAAACACATCCCCATTGGGGACCCTGAAAATCCGGATTACAGGAGAAGGATTTAACCTTACCTAGAGCTGAAACTGATTTAGCATGAAATATAAAAGTAGAAGCAGCAGCAGGAGGAGCACTGTAGGCGCTCCCATTCTCCAGGTCAAGCCAAGGGAAGCCATCCCTGACTATATCTCACTAGGGCCCTCAGGGAAGGCAGCCAGCAGAATCTGGGAGGGATCACAGGCTGAAAAAAGATTCCAACTGAACTTTGTTTTTTTTTGTTTTATTTTATTTATTATTATCATACTTTAAGTTCTAGGGTACATGTGCATAATGTGCAGGTTTGTTACATATGTCTACTTGTGCCATGTTGGTGTGCTGCACCCATCAACTCGTCAGCACCCATCAACTCGTCATTTACATCAGGTATAACTCCCAATGCAATCCCTCCCCCCGCCCCCCTCCCCATGATAGGCCCAGGTATGTGATGTTCCAACTGAACTTTATAATAATTTTGACTGAAGCAGGCTCTCTTGAGCAGAATCTGGGGGTGAACGGGAACTGTTGCAGAGAGTAGCACAGGAGCCAAGGCCAACAG